GATGTGCTGTTATTGATTAGATGAAAAGCCATCATCATCATCACCATCATCATTATCATCATCATCATCATCATCATCATCATCATCATCATCATCATCATCATCATCATCATCATCACCACCATCATCACCATCATCACCATCATCATCATCATCACCATCATCATTATCATCATCATCATCATCATCATCATCATCATCATCATCATCATCATCATCATCATCATCATCATCATTATCACCATCATCATTATCAGAGCCTCCCTATTGGTTGTGGCTGTCTTCGTTGCCCCACAATGAAGGGCACGGCTTGCCACTTTGAGTACCTCAGTGCAAAGAGGCACTTCTATTCGCCTTTTTTGGACGAGTGGGGGTGCCTCTGAGTATAATGACAACGGAGCCGCGAAGGAGTCCACCAGACTCATTAAAGAAACAAACAAAAAATCAGCAGCAGCAGCAACATCAGTCAAGCCAAATTTTAGCTTAGTTTGTGTTATCTTCCTTGAAAATGTACCTGCGTCTGTGGTGTAGCCAAGGAGGCTATACAGTAAAGTTTTTGAAAGGTCTTTGGGTGTAGCCATCTCCCGCAGAGGACCTGGGTTCGATCGATTCCCGCGTGGGAAGAAGTGTTATCGAGTACCGTACCTCGGTGCTTCTAACGAGACGTTGTATCACTCTCAGCCCGAGTTGGCCCTGGCAAGTAGGGTCACAAAGTCTATATTTTTATTTTCAGTGATCTAAACTGTGTACATGGGGTCGTAAAAACACCTACTTTTAAAAAAAAATAGAATTTTTCTTTTTTTTCCACAATTACCAAATCGTCTTACTGCCTTCACACTGTACAGTTGTAAACCCTGTTGTATGACGGCTCCCCTCTGGAATCCAGATCACGAACCGTACGGATTATCGGTTTTAGGGGGAAAAAAGAGTTCTGGATAAAGCAGTAACAAAGACCACACAAGATATAATAAGACATAAGATATAATTTTGCTTTACTAAGACTATGCAAAAAAGTGTGCAACAATACATTGTAAAAATGCCGTAACACTTCATGCATTGATCTATATATATATAGTATATATGATATATCAATCATTATAATGAAAAATTAAAGCCGCCCTTCACTCAACCCACATTTTGCTTCCATCTGTCTGTCTGTCTGTCTGTCTGTCTGTCTGTCTGTCTGTCTGTCTGTCTGTCT